AGGCTCCTTCTGAACAACCTCCATCTGAGCAGACTCCATCTGAGGAGGCCCCTTCTGAGCAGGACCCATTTGAGCAGACCCCATCTGGGCAGGCGCCATCTGAGAAGGCCCCATCTGAGAAGGCTCCATCTGAGGAGGCCCCTTCTGAGTAGACCCCATCTGGGCAGGTGCCATCTGAGGAGGCCCCTTCTGAGCAGGTGCCATTTGAGCAGACCCCTTCTGAGCAGGCTCCTTCTGAGCAGGCTTGCTGGTTCTTTTACTTGACTTACTTTTCAGGGTTTTCTTCCTTGCACTTTTTTTCATGCAGGCCTTTTGCTTCTTACTCTCCTCCACTTTGGAGTCACCCTTTGGCGCTTCCTGACCACTTCTGGGTTTGCCTTCTGCCTTCTTTTTCTTCTTGGTCACAGGTTCCTCATTATTCACGGGATCAGGTAAGGACTGGGCTTCAGCTTCCATCTTCCTTTTGCTTTTCTTGATTTTACAGAGCTTTTCTGAATTACTGCCTGTGGGTACATCCATCTCTTTAATTTCTGTGGCTGATTTGCGAGTTCTGGTCGTCACTTGGGTCACTGAGCCGCTACTACAAGGCCTTTTCTCTTTTGAAACGTCTCTTTTCTCCACTTTTACAGACTTCTCGTTTTTCTTTCCAGCCGCATCCCCCTTTGTTTTCGTCTGCTCTGTTTCTGGTTTTTCGTTGGTAATGTTGTTATCAGGCAAGTCAGCCTCTCGCTTTTTGGTTTTCTTTAGTTTCACTTTTGAGACGTCCATGGTTTTATTAGGACAAGTAGGATGCTTAGATTTGAAGTGATACTGTAGATTACACTTCTTGGAAGCTGCATAGTCGCACACAGGGCAATTGAACTGCCGTGGGTTGACGTGGAGCTCGACGTGTTTTTTGAAGTTGCTTCTGTCGGCTGTTTTGTAGTCGCAGTGTGGGCAGTTAAGAGGTTTAGGCCCATTGTGAACCTGTCTTGCATGGCGAGTTACTTCATGTTGATTAGAGGCCACGTAACTGCACTGGTCACATTTAAACGGCTTCTCACCTAAAGGGAAATCAAAAGTGTCAGAGAAGAAATCGATTAAAACAAACTCAAGAGTGAAATATACTTATAAGGGATCGTACATGTAAAATAACCACAAGGACTATTTATTGAGAAGACTGTTTCATGCACCTTACATTGACCATATTTATTTGTATTACTATTCTCAATTCCATGACACTGATTCTCAGACCAATCAAAAGAATAATTATCTCAGTCGATCATCATCTTCAACAAGTTTACCAATTTACAGTAAACTGGCTCACACCTACAATCTTAGCACTTCACATGGCTGAGGCAAAAGAATCACCTGAGGCCCAGAGTTGAGACGAGCCTGAGCACAGCAACACAGAAACCCTGTTGATCTCCAAAAAAAAAAAAAAAAAAAAAAAGAAAAAAAAAAAAAAAAACACGGAAAATTAGCTCTGCCTGGTGGCGCCTGAGTAGTACCAGTTACTCAGGAAGCTGAAGCAGGAGGACCACTTGTGCCCAGGAGTTGGAGGTTACAAGTGAGCTATGATGATGCCACTGTACTCTAGCCCAGGTGACAGAGCAAGACCCTCTCTCAAAAAGTAAAATAAAATAAATAAATAAATAAAAATAGGCCAGGTGCAGTGGTTCACACCTGTAATCCTAGCGCTCCGGGAGGTGGAGGCCAGAGGATTGCCTGAGCACAGGAATTAGAGCCCAGCCTAAGCAGAGCAAGTCTCTACTAAAAGTAGAAAAACTAGCAGGGCATGGTGGCTGGCACCTGTAGTCCCAACTACTCAGAAGGCTGAGGTAGGAAGATCACTCGAACCCAGGAGTTTAAGGTCGCTGTGAGCTCTGCTGACACCCTGGCACTCTAGCCCAGGCAACAGAGTAAGACTTTGTCTCAATAAATAATGAAAAGGAATAGACATTCATCAAAAAGTGAGCAATTACTGGCAACGTTCAGATGGCCTCTGGGTGTTACTTTTGGTGCAGAGTTACTAAGGAAACTAATCAATTTTAAAATTCTTTATGTTTAGTTAAAATAAATGTATAAGGGAATAGAATATAAAATGTCCCTACTTTTAAATTTTGAGAGAGGGGTATCTTTCACTCCAGATTATACTCTGATCCTAAGTGCAAAACTCTTAAAACTGCCTTAGCTGGAGGAAGCAAAGGCTTCTTCTGAAAACTTAATCCTTTTTTCATCATGGCAAGAGTTTACTCAGCCAAAGGAGCCAAATTTGCTCAAGTTTCACTCAGCAAATTTTTCCAGTGCCAGAGTTGCTACTTTAAATTAAAAATAAAGCAGGGTCATTACGTTCCCCCTACCTTGCTATAAAATGGACAAAGAAATTAGGTAAATGAAAACTGGCATACAAATAGATATGGTATGTAAAATAAGCCAAGTCGTAACAACAGATGCGCAGAACCAGAACCACCTCCACCCCCATTGATAACACGTTCTACCTGCATACATACCCATCTAGATCACACTCTAGCAAGTATTACCAAATGGGATCCATACCCAACTGGTCCAATGGAATGCATAGTAGAAAAACGGAAATTGACATTTATGAAAATTCATCTCTCAAACATTCTCAAATTCATATCAAATCTTTTATATTTTTTTCTTAAAGCAGAACTCAGACATTAAGCAAAACCATGTAGATGTTAAGTTTTACATGATTAGAAAATGTCTGGTGATAAAATAATCACACAAACAAAAACTTTATCCAGACGTGTCAGATTGGACACACAGCTAAATGGACACTTATTTCCCGCATCAGTTCAACAGAATCAGTTTAACAGATTCAATAAACAGAGAGATTCCATAGCATGCTACATTACTCTATACTTGACTTTACACTGTCCTTTCCAGGGAGTGGTTTAAATGGAGATAAGCATTTGTTTAACAAACAGACAGTAGAGAAAGACAAGTGGTATAGTGGCTAAGAACTTGTTCTAGAGTATCACAGGGAGAAAAAAAAATACGAGTGCTGCAACTTGCTTACTCTGAGCCATCGAGCAAGGTACTGAAACCTCTCTAAGGCTCAGTTTCTTTATATGTAAAAGACTCTTGGCTCGGCGCCTATAGCTCAACTAAGGCGCCAGCCACGTACACCTAAGGTGGCGGGTTTGAATCCCCAGCCCAGACCTGCCAAACAACAATGACAGCTGCAACCAAAAAATAGCTGGGCGTTGTGGCGGGCGCCTGTGGTCCCAGCTACTCGGGAGGCTGAGGCAGGAGACTCGCTTGATCCCAGGAGTTGGAGGTTGCTGTGAGCTGTAATGCCACGGCACTCTACCCAGGGGGACAGCTTGAGGCTCTGTCTCAAAAAAATAAAAATAAAAATAAAAGACTCTTTCAGTGTTATGAGCTATGCATAATCTAATCCATGCAAAGCTCTTAACACTGAGCACAGAACAAGCACACACTATGGCAGCATCTAGAATTGCTTACTTTTGGAACCAACTGGAAACTTGAAGTGTGGACAGATAGATTCAAATATTTATCCTGTCTTTCCAGAGTACATACACTCCACTCTGAGTAAACAAAGAGCTGATGGGATTATCTGTTTATGAAAACATTTACACTAATAAAAAATTATAATTAAAATACCACCATTTTAGAACCACGAGGGAATGAGGAGCCCTGAGCTGGGAGCACCAACCAGGTCTGAGCCTCGACCTAAGAACCAGGTAGGGAGCGGCGGGCACAGACATTTTCTGTTTTAGCATCTAGTCACGTCTCTATTTCTCATATTACGTGGCTGGATACTTTCTGGACAGCCCTCATAGATTACTATTTTCTTATCTATTAGTACCTAGCTGAACACAGATCTTGCCCTGTATGAATGGTTCCTTTTTTCCAATTCTACCTATACTTCTCATCTTTATACATGTGCCAGTTGTCTATTTTAATTCTTCCAAAAACAATTTCTATGTCTAAGTCAAATCGAAAGGCGAGCTATGATGCCACAGCACTCTACCCAGGGCAACAGAGTGAGGCTCAGAAAAATAAAAAATTAAAATTATACACTATTTAAAAACTTATTCTGATTTCATGAAAAACTCTTGAAGCCTAACATCTTTCATATAATCCCAGCTAAACAATCCCCCAACAATAATCACCAAATAGTAGGTGGAAGCAAATTAAGCATATAGCTGAAAAATAAAAATAAACCTTTTTTTCCATCTTACAAAGAAGTATAATAAATGGATGTGAAACTTGGCAAGCTGTTAGTTCCCTGTAACAAAAACTTATTCATGGGAAAAGATGGTAAATCAATCCCTACACTAGCAACTGGCCCATGTGATATACACAAAAACATACTGGCAAATACAAAGGTGACGGTACATCTCCACTAACAGGTGGAAATGAGGTCAGGATAATGTCACTGCCTCAAGGACTACAAGAGAAGATACCCTACTATTCAGAAGAAATACTAACAATGGGCAGCCCCTGTGGCTCAGTGGGTAGGGCACCGGCCCCATATACAGAGGGTGGAGGGTTCAAACCCAGCCCCGGCAAAACTGCAACAAAAAATAGCCGGGTGTTGTGGTGGGCACCTGTAGTCCCAGCTACACGGGAGGCTGAGGCAAGAAAATCACCTAAGCCGAAGAGCTGGAGGTTGCTGTGAGCTGTGATGCCACAGCACTCTACCCAGGGCGACAAAATGAGACTGTCTCTTAAAAAAAAAAAGAAAAGAAATACTAATGAAATGGAGAGTAATGCCAAGTTAGGTTAGTGTCTAGACTTCCACTGATAGGCAATTTTCTGTTTTATGAAACTAATATTCTCATTCCTCTCAAATTTGGCCATAGAAGACATCCTATGGGGCCAGGCACAGTGGCTCACACTTGTAATCCCAGCATTCAGGGAGACTGAGGCGGATGGACTGCCTGAGCTCACAACTTCAAGACCAGCCTGAGTAAAAGCGAGATCCCATCTCTAAAAAATAGCCAGGCGTTCTGCCTGCAGTCCCAGCTACTTGGGAGGCTGAGGCACGAGGACTGCTTGAGTCCAAGAGTTTGAGGTTGCTGTGAGCTATGACTCCACAGTACTCTACTCAGGCTGACAGTGAGATTATGTCTCAAAGATAAATAAATAAAGACTCATCCTATGAATAAAATGGTCCAAGGAAATGAGTAATATAGTTTTACCAAATTTGTCACTTTTTCTAAAATATATTAACTCAACAGAGCCTAATCTCTTCCAGAAATCAAACAGATGAAGCTCACACATCTCTTCCCCAAAATACATTCACAGGAAGATGCCAAAATGTCCAAGGTGACCTGTAAATACAAACCCCAGACCACAAAGACACCAAGATAGTCACTCCACACAACCCAGTCCAAAAGACCATCCAATCTGACCTAACTCAGCCTCACTTTAATGCCAGTATCATCAGCAACCTTCTATTAAAAGTGTTCAAACATAGGATCTGCTGAAATACTCATACACAAAACAGACTAACCATTTTCATTTCCTGTTTGTGACTCACAAATTGTTACAATCCAACAAAAGAACGAGTTTGGGTTCTGCTCTTTCCACAGTACAGTTGCACTTTCATTATGCTGCGGCCTTTCTGCCTAAGCCGCCTTCTGAACCATCATGATCTAACACCACTGATAAATGCCAGGAGGCCGAGGAGTCTGAAAACAAATCCCAGGTCTTCCACTTTGAAGGAATGACCATTAGCCTTATTATGGTGACCCTCTCTGAGCCAGCGTTCTCATCTAACTAGGGTTCAGTACCTTCACAGTGCTAGGTACAGAGACAGCAAATACCTGTTTATCAGTACCTAGCATGCATATAATAAACAGTAGCTACTACTAGTTATTAAAAGCTGTTAAAATATTTGTGCTATGCTATAACATCAACTACTGAAACATCTTTAGAACTTAACAAACAAAACTCAAAGACATTTAGAAAATCTAAATAAAATCATTTCAGGCAAAGACTATCAACTGGTATAAAACACCATAAATACTTCAACAGTGACAAGGCAAGGAACTATTAATTCAGTGAAAGAATTCATACTTGAGGGGTGGCGCTTGTGGCTCAGTGGGTAGGGCGCCGGCCCCATATACCAAGAGTGGCAGGTTCAAACCCAGCCCCAGCCAAATTCCAAACTGCAACAAAAAATAGCCGGGCGTTGTGGCGGGGGCCTGTAGTCCCAGCTACTCGGGAGGCTGAGGCAGGAGAATTGCCTAAGCCCAAAAGCTGGAGGTTGCTGTGAGCTGTGACACCACAGTACTCTACCCAGGGCAACAAAATGAGACTCTGTCTCAAAAAGAAAAAGAAAACAAAAACACCCAGTGGGCCGGATAAATGTCCTAGGCGGGCTGCATGTGGCCCACGGGCCATAGTCTGTGGATGCCTGGTAACCAGATGTGACTTTAAGTAAGGCACACCATTTGACAGGTAGACACCAAACATTTAATTTCCAGTTCACAAATAATATAAGTTTACAAGGAACAAAAGAAAAGCTAAATGACACCATGAGAAAGCAAGTATGCACAGCGAGAAGGGGCACATTCTACATGAAGGCGGCCTTGCGTTTTCCATGCCTTAGATTCCTCATTTGTAAAAAGTGGGGATACCAGAACTGATACAGTCTAAAATAGTTAGAAAGGCCGGGGGTGGTGGCACACCTGTAAGCCCAGCACTCTGGGAGGCCAAGGCAAGTGGATCACCTAAGCTCAGGAGTTTGAGACCAGCTTGAGCCAGAGAGACCCCATCTCTAAAAATGTGGCAGGTGCCTGTAATCCCAGCTACTTGGGAAGCTGAGGCAAAGGAATCACTTAAGCCCAGGAGTCTGAGGTTGCCGTGACCATATATGACACCACAGTATTCTACCAGGGGAGAGAAAGTGAGACTGTGTCTCAAAAAAATAAATAAATAATAAAATAAAATAGTTATGAAGACTCAAGTGACTTTATTTAATTCACGTGGCTCTTAAATGTAGAGGATAGCTGCCAATGGGCAAGACGTCTACCCTCAATGAAGCCAAGGTCTGCATCCACATACCCTTAGACAATGAAACCAGGAATCTCCCAAAAGTAATAAAACCAGGTTTCTAGTAAAGCGGCACAACTCAATAGCTAAGATTTACAAGGAACAAAGTACATTAACATGACCAGCATAGAGGGTCAGGAAAAGTTGGCCAGCGTGCCGTAAGACACTCACAGCTGCTCAAGTCCATCAGCACTTGTCATACAATCCAGTCTCACTCTCACTACTGGCTTAAGGCCACAAGGTCCAATGGAAATATAAGGCAAATCACACGTATGAATTTTAATTTTTCTGGTATTCACATTATGAAAGTAAAAGAGGAACAGGTAAAATTAATTGTATTACTTGTTTAGACCAACATATTCAGTAACTGTAACACATGATCAACATCAAAAAGAGATTATTGTATATTCTTCATACTGTTTGAAATCCAGCACGTATATAAGCCTCAATATATTTTATAAGCCTCAATTCAAACTAGCCAAGTTTCACAAGCTCAATAGCCGCACGTGGCTAGTGGCTACCCAATGAGGCAACACAGATCTAAGGTAATTATGAATTTAAGGGAGAGGGGGCTATGAAGACTTTGGGTAAACAGTAAGACTTTACCATACTTTCCCTACAAGGGCATATATTCTAAGTCTGGTAGTTCACCAAGGGGCAATCAAAGCAAAAAATGAAATAACCATCTATTCCAGATCACCAATGCTACCATTAACTTTTTACTTGGCCACTTACTAACCTTGTTAATGAAGACCAGTTCTGAGTGGTGCTCACAACCGATTCAGCGACTGAGTCTCTCACTTTACTAATCCTGCACTTTTATTACAGGGTAATAAATTGGCTTCCTGGTTTATCTATCGTTTTTGTTTTTAAGTTAAGCTTCTGTAATCAGTCCTCAAAAGACCTATCAATTCTCAAAAAACAAACCCAAATTTTAGAACCTGAGACCCTAAGAAAGAATCCCTGATACCAGGCAGACACACCATGAAACTCAGCGTTGGGGGAATGTGAGAGACGGCTGGGGCTGCTCAGAGGCTGAGCCAGGTTTGGTCGACATTAGTAATTTACTGGAGTCATGGAACTCTTGAAACATCCAAAGAAAATTAAGGGTCCTCCCCGCAGAAGTACACATGCAAATTCACACTCATTTTCAGGGGTTCTACCTATGGAGTACACATTAGGAATCCTGACTTAAATACAGCTCCACATTGACAGAACACTGATTTTTTTTTTAACTCTAATTTCTAAATTGTATTAAAAATAAAAACGAACTCCCTTATAGTGGTCGTTCATTGAAAATGGGAGAGAAGTTTCCACGTCTTACCAACCTGAATGAGTGCGCATATGTCTAGTTAGATGAGTCTTCTGAGAACTTGAGTAAGGACAGAGTTCACATTTATATGGGCGTTCTCCTGCAAAAGTATAATGAATAGTATTTAAATGTAACAAAACAAGCCAAATACAATTCTCACTAATAAAGTAACAATATGCAATACTGAGCACTTTTTAAAAAGGACTTTTTTCCTAGTCTAGCAAAAAGGTAGATTATCATGTGTTAAAAATCTACGCAAACTTTCTGATGCTACTGTTTGGATAATTTTTTGATCCTTGTAAATGAAAAATCTACCAATTGCAATTGTTGGCTTAAATCAACAACCCTTTGAGTGGGGATATTGTTGCTTTAAGCCAAAAATTCAAGCGGTGGATATACCACTTATAAAATAGGTCATCAAATATTAAATTATAAAAGCTTGGCTCAGCGCCCATAGCTCAGTGGTTAGGGTGTGGGCCATATACACTGGGGCTGGTGGATTCAAACCCGGCCTGGCTCTGCTAAACAACAATGACAACTATAACAAAAAATATAGCCGGGCGTCGTGGCAGATGCCTGTAGTCCCAGCTACTTGGGAGGCTGAGGCAAGAGAATCACTTAAGCCCAAGAGTTTGAAGTTGCTGTGAGCTGTGGCGTGGCCGCACTCTATCCAAGGCGATTGGGAGACTGTCTCAAAAATAAATAAATAAATAAATAAAATCTATAGGGACTAAGAACAACTGAAGCGAAGATGAAAGGCCAGTGACTCAGTATTACAGAATTTGCGACTCAAAGGCAGGACATGTATCTTCTTTTCAGACATGGGCTGTCCACCACAAAATAGGTTTCAACAAAAGGTAGACAATTTATTTTCACACAGCCTCTGCACACAAAATAATTATGACCATGGAAAAGTTACTTAAACACCCCCTTTTCTCATCTATAAAAATAACAGTACCTTCATTTCCTGTAACTGTGATAATTTAAATTAGATAATACTGCAGAGCATTTAACACTGTGCCTAGCACACAGTAAAGCCCTCAGTAAAGAGCAACTACTAATTTTGCCTGCACAGAAGATACAGGAACACATTTGTCTAATAAAATGGGAAAAGATGGTATGAAAAAAATGATAATGAATAAGAACTGTGTTCCCAGTAACTCTGCTATAATTAGCTGTTATCTAGGGATTAGCTGTAAAGAGCTGGTTGCAATAGACTGCCTACCTTGTGACCTGGAAGAATTAAGGTAGTGTAAAAATGTTAAAAGAAGATACACAGGCTCGGCGCCTATAGCTCAACCGGCTAAGGCACCAGCCATGTACACCTAAGGTGGCAGGTTCGAATCCCCAGCCCGGACC